TCACAGTGGTCCCCAGAGGTTCACAGTGGTCCCCAGAGGTTCACAGTAACAGTGTGTCTGATGAGATGAACTGACTCACAGCGTCACAGATGACCTCAAGGTGAAGACTCTCCAGTTTCTGCGTCATCTCTTTGTGTCGATGACGATACCAGCCGTCAAAGTTAGGAGACCTGAAGAACTTCCTGAGAAGATGAATCACTTCATATTTCATTCAAACTTGACAGGAAATACATGACATCATATGTGACATCATACGTGACATACGTGACCTCATACATGACATCAACAAGTCAGTTTGTTTTCCAGCCTTCTAACTACTATTAATTAACAAATACTTCCTGCTAAAGTAAGTAGAAAAAAAGTTACGACTTTATTCCCAAGCTGTCATTGGCAGCCCACTGCTCCCTATATACAGGGGTGGGTCAAATGCAGAGACAAATTTCCCCCTTAAAGGGATCAATATAGTATAATAAATAAATTATTCTAAAATTACGACTTTATTCTCAAAATTTCGACTCTTTAGAACTCTAAGAACGATGTCTTAAAGACTTGTTGATTTTCCCAGAGCTGAATATAAAACAGATTTTGTGACACCTGAGCTACTCACCTGTACAGTCCCATCCAATCACCTTTGAGCACCGAGGTTAGCTGAGGCCCGGCGTGATCCAGAGTGGACATGAACTCGTCCTGACTGAAGGGTCGAACCTGGGGAGGAGTCTGAACACAGGAATACAGGAACACACCGATGACATCACCGTGAGGTCACCCCCCCACCCAACGATCCACTTCCTGTTTACCTTCCACGGCGTCACCGACCTCTGCAGAGGCATGAGGCTCGCCATGTAGCGCTCCTGTTGAAAGAAAGGACATATTTATTGTTAGTGGATGTTCCTGAGGAGCCAATCAGAAAGGGTTAGAGGTGTCGGAGCGCTCTGATTGGCTGTTGACTCACCAGCGGTATGATGAAGCTCTGGGTGAGCTCCAACAGGTGTCGCCTTAAGATGGCGCTCTGAACCTCTGACGGTCTTTTCCTCTGAATTCCCTGAAGACAGAGTTCATAAGGTGTCATCAATAAGTATTAATATCAATACGTATTAATATCAATAAGTATTTTCACCTTCAATAGTCTCTTAATAAGAATCTTGTCTTTGTGTAGAAACGTCTTGAACGCCGTGTAGATTCCTGCAGACAGGAAGTAAAACATTCAGAAATAATGAATGATGTTCAGAATGATGAACAGGTGAGTAGAGACTCAGGTGTTACCTGGTTTAGTGTCTAGTGTTTTCAGTTTGGACAGTTTCTTCACCTTCACCTGTTTAGGTAAATCACCTGAAAGAGAACATTCGGACCAATCAGAGCTCTGTTCACTGTCAACAACAACAACAACAACAACAACAGGAGACACCTGCTGGACTGGTTCTACACTACACATTCATTTAAAAAGAAGAGAAGAAGAAGAAAAAGATGATAAAGAAAGCGTGACATACAAAGAAGAGAAGAAGAAGAAGAGCTTCTTTTACCCGCCATCTTGATTTCTCCCAGTCGGACGACGTGAGGCCAGTTCTGAAAAGTCTTGATGAAGAACGGATTAGTGACTCCAAGAACCACGTTAGGCCTGAACAGGTGAGAGAGAGAGACAGGTGAGACACAGACAGGTGAGACACAGACAGGTGAGACACAGACAGGTGAGACACAGACAGGTGAGACAGACAGGTGAGACACAGACAGGTGAGACAGACAGGTGAGACACAGACAGGTGAGACAGACAGGTGAGACACAGACAGGTGAGACAGACAGGTACTCACGGGGCCTGCGTCCTGGTGGTGAACTCTCTGAACTCGTTGTCGTGGATCGTGAAGTACGGACGGAAGTCGCAGCAGAACTTCAGAGGACTGATGGAGCTGAGAGAGGACACCTTGTTACCACGACAACGACACAAACACCGCCCTCTGATTGGCTCCCAGGAGCTCTGACATCAGCTGAGGTGAATTTGTTTTATTGTGTTATTACGGTTTACTATATTTTCTATTATTATGGGATGTTTGATCACCTGACGAGAGCCAGCACGGTTTCCGAGGAGACAGCGGGAGACGGCGCCATGACGACCACCGGTTCCCCTAGCAACATGAGCTCCCAGAACATCTGCAGGTGGATCAGGACCGATTGGAAACACCTGAGAGAGAGAGAGAGAGAGAGAGAGAGAGAGAGAGAGAGAGAGAGAGAGAGAGAGAGAGAGAGAGAGAGAGAGAGAGAGAGAGAGAGAATAATGAGTATTATTAATAATAATCGTTATGTTTGTATATTGATGATGAATATGAGAGAATAGACAGACTTGAAGAGGTCCAGTTCGTGGATGGTTGGCAGCAGAGTCGGAGTCGGCAGGAGGTTCTGAAGACAAATAAAACTTTATTGTTCATTCACACTTTGTGATTATTAATAAAGGGTCTTTCTCTCTTCCTGACCTCTCCAGCAGCTTGTCTGACTGGACTTCCTCCTGGTTTGTCTGTTTTTGAAGGAATCCGAACCTGAAAAAATAAATGAAAATTATCATGAAATACAGGAAAATATTGTTTTATTCCAATAAAGTTAAAATAAAATACAAAAGGTTTATAAACTGTTAAATATCAGAAGAACAGAGCAGCCTCCTGGATAATATAATGTTATAATGTACAAAACTATATCATAGCCAAGTAATTATTTGATTATTTTGACTATTTATACATATATTCAAATCAAACATCCTGTACAAATCATTACGTGGAATGCTGCCACCTAGTGGTCGTTACAAGCGTCACACTCTGAGAGGTCACCAGACTACAATACCCATGAGCCTCAGCTGGTGTTGATATGGAGAAAACTTAGAATCTGAATCTGAAGCTCTTTGATTGGGTGCCTGTTGGTGAAATGCACCCTGGGAGTCGTAGTGGACTGTAGTTTTTATGTCCACTACCTTTCATCAAAGACCAGATATTTTCTAACACAAAATATGACTCTTCCACTGGTGATTTCACCTCACCTGTATGACCCACCCCTTCCTCCCCTCACCAGTGAGACCACGCCCCCTGACATGCAATACCACGCCCCTCACCTGTAAGACTACGCCCATCACAGGCAGGTTGAGGGTCAGTCCAGGTACAGGTGGAGGCCATTGGTCGACCCCGTTACACACTGTGAGGGACGAGAGAAAGACGTCAGGTGAAGATGTCAGCAGAGTGACATCATGATTACTATTGTTCTGATTCGTCCACGGTTATGATGCAAGCATGACATCATCACCTGCTTCCAGACAGGGCTCCAGTTTCTCAAAGAACTCAGGTGCAACGATCTGCAGCAGCGAGTGGAACAGGTGAGTGTACGGTAACCTGGACACCAACACCAGAGACTGTGACACAAACATCAGGTGTTAAAACAGGTGGTGAACCAGGTGTTGAAACAGGTGGTGAACCAGGTGGTGAAACAGGTGGTGAACCAGGTGGTGAAACAGGTGGTGAACCGGAAACAGACCTTCTGGAAGTATCCTCTCTTCACAGAAACATCCTTCACTTGTCTGAAATAGACGTAACCAAAGAAATGTGATGCTTCAGTCTGTGGAAACAAAGAGACACGAACTGTAAATGTTTACCAACGTTTCTTTATTAATGTTTCAATGTGTTTGTTTATAAGTGTTTATACATGTTTGTTCAGGTGGATAAGATGGTCACTGATCGATACCTGGAGAGTGGGCGGAGCCTCTCTGTTGTAAACATCTTCTCTGAACCTCGAAGACCGACCGACCGACTGACGTAACCTGAAGCTGAACTGCGTGTCCCCAATGCATCCTGGGAAATGAAGTAAAGCCCTGTGACCTCAGTCTCACGTGAAGCACCACTCAGTGTCATGTGACTTACCTGAGTACGAGTCAGGGAAGGACAGGTAGCAGATGCTGGTTTTCTGACAACAAAAACAGACAGATACGATCAATCAATAGATATAATCAATACATATAGATAATGTGTTGAATAAATGAATTACCTCCTTCTCGGTGAGCTTCACATCCTGAGGATACACCAGCTGAAACAAACAATCATCCTATTGGTCGGTGCAGCGGCAGATTAGATGTTCAAGTGTCACAATAACTAATATGAACCCTTTAGACTCCACCAGACTCCATTAACAATCATGCATATTTAACACGTAATCACGCACTGCAGAGTGGTAACATGTCTGTTAGTGTTCGTGTTTAACGTTATAAATCACGAGGATGATGTCATCACTTCGGCTCACACAACAACATTTCAACATCAGTCGTTTTCACAAAATCTGAACTTTTCTTTCAACGATGCCGCCTTTAATCCACACAACACATTGTAAGGGTTTACGTCATAATGCATAGATGTGGAGGACTAAATGTGTGCCGACGTCAACAAGAGGTGTGTTTGTTGACTTCGGCATAAAGTAGATCAACTTTTCAGCCTCAGTAATGTCTCGATATGTGATTGTTCAGTAGAAGCTGCATCAGCGGAGCTGGAGAAGAAACAACAACAAACAGCCATTTTGTGGACGGAGTCTGGTGCACGATGCTAACGATGCTAAGCTAACACCTCCTCCCATCACCTCTATGGCTTGTCCGAGCTCCAGGTCGAAGGTGACGACACACACGCACTCGAGCCACGAGGAGAAGCGGGCCCACGGCTCCTCGTGTCGGGGAGAACCGGAGCCGTACAACGGGTTCATCACGACCGGGACGGAGCTCCGTTCATCCTCCGGTCCTCCATCTTTCGGTCCTCCATCACGTGCGAGCGTTAAAGACACCGTCTATTGGGGGGG